CAGAGTCCTTCCCCTTAGTTCATCCCACTGAAAAACTCCCTTGGCTAGCAGCTCAGGTCACTGAGGGGCACTGATGCCAATCACAACAAAGACATGCGCAGAACCCTCTGAGTCCAAGGCATGGTAGCTCTTTACCATCCCAACAGGGACAAGGATCATTTTAGATTTTAATCATCATCTGTTCCACAGCAGTATCAGTTGAAGTGAAGCTCTTAGCTGTATTTCAGGTCAAAATAAAACATTCCTAGAGAAAGACTCCAATAAAATGCTGTCTGATGTCAGCATTCCTGTTAGAGTATTTCTGTCCCTGTTATTTCTTGCTTCCACCTGGTGGCCAACAGTTGAAAAAGCAGGCATACGGAAAAGGACTGGGCATGAGCAGGATCCATTTGTCTATGGTTCATAGTCCATGTGAGTCTGGGTCTCTGTAGGGTTTTTAATACTGCTTTCCTGCCTTTTGATTTCCACTAAGTTCCTCCAGTGGAAAATCTCACCATGTGCAGCGTTCCTTCCTGGGGCTGAAAGAACCAGGATAATCCCCGATGCTTCCCTGCAGCTGAGCTCTTGTCACAAATCAGGCATGATTTTCAGCAGATATTTCTTTAAAAGTTTGAAGGCCTCTGTGGACTCTATTCCCTTCTCAATGGGAACAAGCATCAAAGAGTCAGGAATAAGATGCTTTGCACGCACATCAGGAACTAATTGCCAATTTGGCAAATGCATTGACTAATGTCATGCACTGTTATTTCTAAATCCTCTCCTGTCCTTGACCCCAGTATCTAGATGTAAACTTGGAACCATTAGTGGAGAAGGATAAAGTCTTCTGGTGCCTCAAATGGAATTGAGAGGGATTTAAACTCAGCGCTTTTGAGTGTGGTGAAATGAACCCAGCAGTACATTAATGCTAGGATTTGAGCTCACACAGCATGAGTGCTTTCAAAAACCATGTTTAAGGAAGCAAACAGAGCCACGACAGACCCTTTGAGTGGAGCAAAAGAAGTTGGATGAGACAATCAATGACACATTAAAAACCACAACTGGGCCGCAATCGTGTGGGCAGAAAAAAAAAGTTCTTCTTTATCACAGGATCTTTGCATCTAATGAGATGGTGACTGGACAACCTCCAGAGGAGTAAGCCCTATGTTTACTTTAGCTGAGAAATGTCTAAATATTTAGTTGAGTCTTTTAAAAGCCTTACATGATTCTGTAGCAAACCCGTCTCTAGGGTATGATCTTATTAGCTCTAGATTGCCATCGGAAAATCTATTTAGAGGAAATTTGGAAAAGAAAAGCCAGAAGAGATTGCCATTGAATGCACAAATATCAACCTACTCTTTTCTCTCAGTATTAGCTATTTTTAAGGCCCTTCAAATACTGAGTTTAGAACGAACACCTTACCATTTAATACCTTATCTTAATTGACTCGAAAATTGTTCTCTACTTTTTATATATGCTTTACTCCTGTTGATTCCATTTGGCACCAAAGTGCTGGAAGCTCAAAAGGGAAGGGACTCCTGAGTGCATTTTCTTGGGGGGCAAGGGAAAACCTAAGAGGCAAGGGAAATTTGTAAAAATGTGTATGGGGGTCCAACTTTTAAATTCACGCTACTGTCTTGTATCAGCAGATTTTAGCCAGGACCGGTATCTAGTTTGCTCTAAGCTTCTGGGATCCTCTGGCCTCACAGATAGGGAGCTTTCACCCTTTCAGACTTTCTGGATAGAATCCCCTCTAGCATGCTGTCCTTTATTATTGCTTCCTGTGGACTCGTATTAAGGATCACCAAAACTGCTCCCCTCCCCCACTGCAGGAGGCCCGCACAGCCCCAGCTCCCCGCCAGTTTGATTAATGTGTCTTGGCTAATTGTGTGAAAGATGGCAGTCCTTTAGCAAGTGTGACCAGCTTATTGTTCAGCCAATCACAGGCACCTCAGTTAGCATGTGAAAAGGGGGTGTGTTGCCAGGGGAGGGTGAGTGTACTGGCGGCTGAGTCAAAGGAGGAGCATTTTGGGGGGTCACAGAGCAACACCCACTTCTTTGAGGGGATGTTACTATGCTCTACTAAACCTGTAAACCTCTTACTCAAAGGACTTTTTTTTTCCTCCTCCCTCTTTTTTCGAGATCTTTTTTTCCCATGGTGCAAGCAGGCAAGACGCTGGCTACTCTGCAGATGGAGTTCACGTTCCAGGGTTTTTAATATTTCACTTTTATATTTCTGTTAGAGAATGATCCTGCTGAGAGTCTGGGAACCTGTGCTCGTCAGAACCCCCTCACTGACGCTTGGATATATTGCTCTGAAAGCTATCCCAGGAGAAAATATTTTTTTTTAAAAAAGGAAAGAAAGAAAGCAAGCAAAAAAGCCTACTTTTCAAAGCCTACTTCTTAATCTGCCCACATCAAAATAAGACAACTGGCCCTTTGAAGTGGAGGACACAGGCTTTCCAGCCAGCTTGCTTAAAATTGGGGGGCAAGGGGGGTGCTGAAGAGATGGAAGGAAGGAAGGAAGGAAGGAAGGAAGGAAGGAAGGAAGGAAAGAAAGAAAGAAAGAAAGAAAGAAAGAAAGAAAGAAAGAAAGAAAGAAAGAAAGAAAGAAAGAAAGAAAGAAAGAAAGAAAGAAAGAAAAGAAAAGAGAGAGAGAAAGACCAGTCTCTAAAATTATATACTTCTCTTACATTGCCCAGGTTTAATTAGACACACCAGTCAGTATTGATGTCTAAAACACCCTCAGCCCTGCTCACCAGATGAATCTGTCCAGCAGGGTCGGGTTTTGTTTTGTTTTAACCTATACAAAGAAGAGACTGTGTTATCTTCCTAGACATAGCCCAGACGAGGCCTGGGAATGGCAGAGTGGGCACAGATGGACCCTGGATGATTCTCCCAAGTCCTAAGCTCTTTGGCTCCCTCAAAATTGCTGTACCAGCTGAATTCAAAGTTTAGGGTTCTTACTACCACTTAGAAAGAAAAGAATGGAAATCTCATCCAGAGTGGCATTCATAGTTCTGCTCTGTGACATTTTTCTGACTCTCATCCCCTCTTCTGTTCCCTCAATCACTGGAGTTCAAGGGTAGCAGCAGCAGCTCGGGGGCTGGGGGGAGGGGGAGGAGGAAGGTGGCTCAAAGAGACTTCTTGATTCACACAGGGGATGTTCCTGGAACACAGAGGTGGATGGACCTTTAAAAACATGGTCCTTATGATTGAGTTACCAATAGCACTGGCCCCAGGCCCAAGATAAGCTGGACTTATCCTAAAGAAAAGGTAGTAGGTGCTTAAAATTTTTTGACTCATTTGAATTAAATTGAATGCTTACTAGGAAAACAATGCAAAGTACAAACCCTATTGATGGTGTACCTGGAGAATTTCTCTTTATAAATAAAAATTTTCACATTACTTTGATGACAGCACAATGAAAAAATGTAGCATATTTCTTGCTGTTTTATTGGAACCCAGTTACCTTATTTAGTACAGAATCTGACAGGGGACCATTTTGGCCAAGTTTCTATCATTATTGTCCTCATCAAGGTATTCTGTACTAAGAAACTGTTTATTGCCTGGACCAACCCGAGACCCAAATGTTTTAAGTTTGGGGGATCAACATATGTTCACCATGGCAGTTTTGTGTTAAGAGTATCCAAATTGTTTTCTACAACCCATCTGTGACCCTAAATGATATGACATGCTTGCATCCACATTAGAACACTGAGGGCTCCCACTCTCATGTGGAGAAGAGAGTATAGGCAGGGTAAGGAGAGGTGTAGGTATGGTGGGAGAAGATGAAAGCCAGACTCTCCTAGAAACCATGGCAACAGGAGACAGGACCTATTGCGGACTGGATCAAGGTCTCCACAAGAAGCCTGTTCTTTTTTCTATCTCAGACCAAAGGGAAGCCCTGTGGCCAGATAGCAGCATTTTTCTCAGGTACTATACTAGCAAAATTCAGAAATGGCAAACTATTTGTAAATGACCCTAAAGCCATTTGCCAATGCATATGATCATTCACAAAAACTGAAATGACTTTATAGTTTGTCTTTAGCTTGCTAAAGTGCTTCCATAATCATGGTTAATTTGAGATACCTGATCCTTATATATATAGCTGTTTGAGCAAAAATATTAGATGTTACAGTAGAAAAAAAATTCCTAGTCTCCTATGTCTTTTGTTTTTTTTTCTTTAATCAGTTTTTAATCTCTGTACAGTTTCTTGCTCTCATGAAGTCCTTGCAGAATAATGTCATACCAATGTTAGTAATGACAATTTGGGTGGGGAACACCTTTAATAATGGCACAATGTAAGAATATAAAGAGTAGAAAACAGGACTTGTGCTGTTTTCATCTTAATCTTGTCCTTATCTGTGCATATCTAACTCTCCTTTAAGCCATTCTTGCTTCTCTAGCTTCTGACACGTCCCTTCATTCCTTTGTGTCTCCTCCCTTCTGTCTCAACATCCTTGATGTGAAGACTAGCTAATCTGTCCCCTACGCCATGGCCTTGGGACCATTTCTCAAAGACTTCCCCCATGGGCAACATTTCCAAAACTTCCAAATTTATCCGCCAGGCTTGGAGGATAAAATGTGACAGAAAATGACCAACTGGGTGAACTGTTGTATAATCTAGAGACATCTTACCTGGCCTGTCCTGGGCCTAGTCTCTACGTCTCCTCTGTTGTCTTAGCATGTAAATCAATGACAGCCATGGGCTCAAAAGTGACTGTCTTTTGAGTTGTTTCCTTGAGCTATTCTGTATTTAGAATGAGTGTGGAATCTACAGTAATAGTCATCAAATTCTTGTTCGGTTTGCTACTTGTGTTTTACAGAGTTTGAGAACTAGTCTGAACTCAACTACTATTTTAGTGTCCTCCTCATGAAAAGATTAGTCAAGGAATATAAGACCTAAAAATTTGTCTAGACCTATCTTTGCTGTTGAGTTAACAACAAAAGAACACACTATGTAGCTAAATCTCTCACACTGCTGATTCTTAGAGCATTCAGAAGTTCAAATCAAATATTACCTGGGTTGTAGTTAGGTAGTTTGGAAACTCCAGGCCAGGTATCCTCTGTAGGGACTCCCAATACCTATATGTAACCAAAAAAGACAGAGAAAAATGAGGGGGTGATGAGGTGGACAAAACAGGTATAGAGAGGCATGAAGGAAATATGAGGGAGGAACAGGGAAGAATTAGATGTAGATCACGTTACACCAGCTGATACATACAAGAAAGAAACTTTGTGTTCCCATATTTATAGTTTTCATGGGCAAAACTAGTACATTCCTATGATTATACAATGGTTAATTTTATGTGTCAACTTGACTGGGCTGAGGGGTGCCAAGACAGCTGGTAAAATATTATTTCTAGGTATGTCTGTGAGGGTGTTTTGGGAAGAGATTAGCACTTGAATTGGTAGACTAAGTAGAGATCTGTCCTCACCATTATGGACAAGCATCATCCAATCCACTGAGGACCTAAACAGAACCAAATGGCAGAGGAAGGGCTAATTCTCTCTCTTCTTGAGTTGCGACATCTATCTTCTTCTGCCCTCAAACATCAGTGCTTCTGGTCTGTGGGCCTTCAGATTCTGGAATTTACCACCCGCAGCCCCCTCAGTTCCCAGGCCTTTGGCCTCAGACTGAATCACACCACTGGCTTTTCTGGTTCTCCAGTTTGCAAATGGCATATGTCAGCTTCCATAATCACATGATCCAATTCCCACAATAAATTTCCTCTTAAATATCTCTATATATCCTATTGGTTTTGTTTCTCTGGAGAATCCTAATACAGGTCCTCAGCCCGTGTCTTTACTAACTCACTTGTTGTCCTGAGGCAAATTATACAACCTTGCTTAAAGTCATATTCTCATAATTTAATATCTATTGCATGACTAACACACATTAGGATGCTATGTTGGGAGTTACTAGTGATGTCCTTTTGCCTTAACAGCAGATATTTGATGTTAAGGCAAAAGGACATCACTAGTAATGATGAGGCCATATGTATACTCTCTCTCCTGTTGTTTGTGTGTGTGTGTGTATGCACATATATATGTATATCCTATTCTTTGTGTGCATGTGTGTATACATGTGTGTATATATACATACATACATATATATATACACACACAAACAACAGGAGGCACTTGACAGCTTAAATTATGTCTTAGCATGGGCATTCAGCTGTTCTGCAATGTGCTGAAATTAAAAAGGTTCAGATTACAGACCTTTAGGCAGTGGAATGTTGGCTAAAAGTGATCCCAAACCTAACTCTAGTCCTTTCTACCAAATTCATCGTATCCACTTGTTTTTTCTGTGGCCCAGCAGCTTGGATGTGGTATTTGGTTTTTAACTGGTGGACAGTAATAGTAACAACATCAGTAAATAAGATCTCATTTATACTCTGGATTGCCAAATTGAAGCTGTGGTTTCAAATTAATAGGAAAAGAGAAGTCTTTGGAGAACAGAGTCAATACATTTCAGATTTTGGATGGTGCTGTTTCTGTGTGTTCCCTTGTAGGTGTCATCTTTCCATTCTTTTATGATAATCATAAAAGCCCAATGTCAGTTATATCTGGAAGCTATATGAATAACATTGGTTTTGTTTATTGATTTTAGAGAGAAAGGAAGGGGGAGAGAGAGAGAAACATCAGTCAGTCGCCTCCCATATGCAGCCCCAACCATGAACCCAAACCCTAGGTATGTGCCCTGACTGGGCATTGAACCCACAAACTCTCGGTGTATGGGACAATGCTCCAACCAATTGAACCACCCAGCCAGAACTAGAATGATATTGTTTTTATAAAATATCAGTAAAAAGCTAGTACCTTTTATTATACCACTACAATATAATTCTTCTTAGAAGTATTTCATGTACAAAGAGTCTAGAGAATTTATTTGTAAAACAGCAGTCCAAGGGTTATGGCAGGAAGTCAACTGGCCAACAACTGACTGATGCTAATACAAAAGAAACCGCAAATCTCAATGCCCACCAGCTTGTTGACTAGGACTCTGGCTGGAAGGTATATTTTGTGGTGCTTTTTAAGCATGTCTCCAAACAAAAGACACGGAAGTGCTACTCTCCCTCATATAATAATGATTTAAAAAATCATGCCACACAGTAAAATCTTTTCTTTGATCTATTCCCTAAACTAACTGAAAGTCTTGTTAAAAGCTTGTATGATCTTAAATGATGGCTTTTCCTATCAACCCCCCTGAGCCTGAAGAACACTAAGAATCCTAGAATCCATTTTGAAAAACCAAATGGACTAATTCTTCTTTTGTAGAAATGGGCCAGAGGATGGGTCTTTATAAACCTACCATCTTGTGTATTTGCATAAATATGCATGTAAACAAATGGGTGTGACTTACATGTACCCATATGTCTTCTGTTGACTGGCAAAGTACAATGAAAAGAAAGCAAAGATAATGAGAAGAAAGCAATGGAGAAATAAGTAATTATCACATCCATATTTTTCTAAGGTATAAGTTACCAGAATTTGTTGGTTATTTTGCATTATATTTAATTAAATCAACAAAATGAATACCAATAATTTTAAAATATTATGCTAAAGACTTTAAACTTGAGGTTTAAAAAGTTCAAACAAAATTCAATATCCTTTATTTGGAAATCTGATGCTGAGTTTCTATTTGAAAGTTATTGAGTTCGTTTTCCCTTTAGAAAATTACTAAATCTCTACCTCACTGTCTGGGAAACTGAAAACCAAAAATTGTTGATTTATGCCCTCCCTAAAGGCTCTTAAAAAGGCAGCTAGTGAGTGCTCTATTTGAGAACACAGTGGGCTGCAGGGGCTGTTTGCTGCCTTTGTTGGAATGGAAACTTAAGGCATTTTGATTAATGGATTCGAGGTCTACATAGTTTGTTTTACTCTGATTTTAGAACCACAGCTGGAATTATTTGTTAAAAACACTTATTGAATGAATTAGATTTCAGAAAGCTGTGACAGCTACTCAGATGTGAACACACACACACACACACACACACACACACACACACACATTTCAGAAAGATGGTAAAAGGAAAACTCAGGACACCTGGTTATGTCTTTATTCCTAAGAATAAGATCTCAGGATAAGTACAGAGGGAAGGTGTGTTTAGAGGTGGGGAGGTTTAGAATGGACACATTGCTTTCAAAGAAGCCACTCCTACATCCAATAGCATAGACTGGAAATAGATTTCCTATTTTCATTTGTGTAGGCCACGTTTAGTAAAACACAAATTCAGGAACTATCTGTAATGTTTAATTTTCTAACCTGTTTGAGGTAGAATAGTATTAAGGACAACATACTACTGACTGTGGTGATTTTCCACTTTGTCCTCAGAGTATGAAAGTACAGGGATGATGACAAAACTATGGTCCTCCTTCAACAGGACCAAGGGGGAAATGAGATGTAATGAATCTGACCTCCTGATTTCCACAAAGGATGGCTAAGCAGTATGGAACTATATCCTTGATCAGTGCAGATCAAAAGTCAGCAACGAACTAGGCAACTTGACAGACTTGAGAAAAAAACTACCTGGGGGAGAAAGGGAATCACATAAACAGAGAAGAATATTGTGATCTTAAATGATGGGAGCTACAATATTTTCTTTACATTTTGTTTCTTGTTTATTGGTTTTTCTTTACACTTTCTTCAAAGAAGTCACAATGTCATGGAGTTGGAAAACCAAATACAGGTGGTCCCTGATTTAGTGTGGTTTGACTTTCGATATTTTCAATTTACGATGGGTTTATCAGGAGGTAACCTATCATAAGTTGAGGAGCACCTGTAACAGTTAAGACACTGGAAATCCATGGAGGTCAGTTATGCAAATTGCTTTCCCTCATAACGTGAAGTTAGAGCTGGGTTCAGAATTCACGTCTTCTGACTGCAGGCCAGTGTTATTTCTAATACGTTTACTTGTTTTAAATTTGTAATGAGTTGTCATAAATGTCAAAATAAAGTCCCCTTGATTGATTGCAGTGTGATAAAGACAATGTAGAAATGAACATGGCTTTCTGAGCAAGAACTATTAGACTGATTTGTTAAGACATGTTTGTTTTTGCTGCGTCACTCATGTTTTGGTACTTTATGTCCAGATTCAAGTTCAAATTCTTTCACTTAATGAATTACCTAAAACATCTTCAGATGACCAGTGTCAATCAGCAAAGCCAGTCCTGGAAATTTGAACCAATTAACTAGAGAGCCATCAGGTCTTGAGCCCATTCTTTCTGTTCTGTTTTCTAAGTGCTGTGCTAAATGCTTTTAACAACATGATTATTTAAAGATAGTATATAATATAAAAATCAGTTTATATGTAACATTTTTAAAGTATTTTTATTGATTGTGCTATTATAGTTGTCCCAATTTTTTCTCCCCTTTCTTCCCCTCTGCCCTGCAGCCCCCCGCCCCCCACTCCACCATTTCTCCCCATACCTTAGTTCATGTCCATGGGTTGTATATATAAAGTCTTTGGCTTCTCCATTTCCTATACTATTCTTAACCTACCCCTGTCTATTTTGTGCCTACCAATTATGCTTCTAATTCCCTGTACCTTCCCTCCTCCATTCTCTTCCTCTCTCTCCCCACTGATAACCCTCCATATGATCTCCTTTTCTGTTATTCTATTCCTGTTCTAGTTGTTTGCTTAGTTTTTGGTTTTATTTTTTAGGTTCAGTTGTTGATAACTATAAGTTTATTGTTATTTTACTGTTCATATTTGTTATGATCTTTTTCTTAGATAAGTCACTTTAACATTTCATATAATAGTGGCTCGGTGATGATGAACTCCTTTAACTTGACCTTGTCTGGGAAGCATTTTTACTGCCCTTCCATTCTAAATGATAGCTTTGCTGGATAGAGTCATCTTGGATGTAGGCCCTTGCCTTTTATGACTTTGAATACTTCTTTCCACCCCCATCTTGCCTGCAAGGTTTCTTTTGAGAAATCAGCCAACAGTCTTATGGGCACTCCTTTGTAGGTAACTGTCTCCTTTTCTCTTGCTGCTTTTAAGATTCCTTATCTTTAATCTTGGGTAACTTAATGATGATGTGTCTTGGTGTGTTTCTTCTTGAATCCAACTTCTTTGGGACTCTCTGAGAATTCCTGGACTTGGATTTCTAGTTCCTTCATTAGACTGGGGAAGTTTTCCTCTATTATTTGTTCAAATAAGTTTTCAATTTCTTGTTCTTCTCCTCTGGAACCCCTATGATTTGGATGTTGGAACATTTAAAGTTCTCCCAGAGGTTCCTCAGCCTCTCCTCATTTTTTTTTTGAGTTTTTGTTTGTTTCTTCATTCTATTACAGTGAATGTTTATTTCTTCCTTTTGTTCTAAATCATTGATTTGAGTCCCAGTATGCTCCCCTTCACTGTTGGTTCCCCATATATTTCCCTTTATTTCACTTTGTATAGCCTTCATTTCTTCCTTCATTTTGCAACCAAACTCAATCATTTCTGTGAGCATACTGATTACCAGTATTTTGAACTGTGTATCTGATAGGTTGTCTATTTCCTTGTCACTTAGTTTTTTTCTGGAGTTTTGATCTGTTCTTTCATTTCGGCCATATTTCTTTGTCTTGGCACACCTGTTGTGTTGTAAGGGGTAGAGCCTTAAGTATTTGTCAGGGTGGAGCAATCCACTTCCCTGGGTTGTGGCACTGTCTGGATGAAGGTTTCTTCTTTAACTCCTTGGTTGTTAGACTTCCATGTAGTTTGATTTTTCCAGCATTTTTGGTTGTTTTTTGTTTTTAAATTGGCTGTTATCCTTCTTTTGGTTGTGTGAGGAAGTGAAGCACTTCTGCCTGCCTCCATCTTGGCCAGATGTCAATATACACAACTTTCAAATGTCCCAACAAATATACCTTATTTCAATATTATAATTTATATTAATTATCTATCTATCTATCTATCTATACTTTCATTATATATATACAATTTATGTTCATTTCACATATATTTACTTATACTTCACTCTTTACTCCTAGACTGAACACTTGAAAGCACAGCCAATTCATTTTTCTTTTTCTTCCTTTTTTCTTTTTTAATATACTTTATTGATTATGCTATTATAGTTGTCCTGATTTTCCCCTGTTGCTCCTCTCCACCCCATTAATACACACATAAAGGTAAGGAAAACACCTTAGGAAACATTGAGGAACAACCAATTGATACATTGATGTTTCTCTCCTTCTCCCTCCCTTACCCTCTCTCTAAAAATAAATAAAGTCTTTAATGTATATGATTGTCTAACCACTATACTATACACCTGAAACTAATACAAAATAATATGGAATGTTAACTGTAATTGAAAAATAAAATTTAAGAAATGGAACCACACATCTTAGGAATTTGGTTTTGGAGGAACATAATAAATACTGTATTTCTCTCACACTAACATGGTAAAGGCTTTGTTGTTATTGAAGTTCTATGAAAATTTACTTTCTTGTTATCAGTTGACAAAGATCCACGGCCAATCATATAGTAGAATTAGAGCTGGGGGCAGCAAGACAGAAATGTGCTTGAGCAGTAATGGCAGAAACTGCCTGGGAGACTGAGCCAATTATAACAGGGAGCAAGTGCATTCATGGAATGCTACAGGACGACACGGGGGTTCCTGACCACTCATTCCCAAGGTGCTTATTATACCTGTGGCAAATACCACAGTCTCCACAACCTTAACACATAGCTTAATACCTCAAAGCAGATGGACTGCATTATTTGTCTAAAAGGCAAATTCGATTTAAAGTATGAAATGCAGGTATTTCTTCTCCCTAAGAGAAATTCTTCTCTTACCTCCCAGATCTTTTCCAGCTGTTCAAAGACATTGGAAACCCCAGGAAACAAAGGTTGACCCTGGAACATTTCAATAAAGATGCAGCCTGCACCC